GAAAATTGAACCTAAACTTTAATAATATTGTATGATTTTATGGGTATTAAGTAGTGTTAGTGATTTAAGTAATTTTTATTAAACATGGCATATGTCGACACCGAACGCCTCGCGGATGTTTTAAGTTGTCTTGTAATTTCGGTAATAATTCATCAAAACTTTTGATTGACATTCTAAAGTTAAAAAAATTTTTTCTTCATCTTCGCGCAATAATGAATATAAAGTAGTAAATTCCTCTTGAAGTGCTCTTTGGGCGACGATTGGGTGAACCTGATATCTACGTCTTCTGTTCCTTATACGTTTACTAATATAGTAAGCAGCAATTAAACAATTAACGCTTTTATTTCATGTACGTATTTGTGACTGTACCAGTCCGTCCAGTTTAGTTGCTCAGGAGAGCTGAATGCTACAAACTGATGATCGGTTATGCGTATCGTCAGGACCGATGGTGCGCACTGACGGTCGGTCGAGCTCTAAAACCGGCCTAAGAAGGATAATAAATATTCTTACTATTTTTTATTAAAAACGTTGGCGCCTTTACATGGATTTCCCACAGTGTTGTGAAAGAAATTTACAAACATTAATTGCATAAGGACAAACATTCAGACCCGTAGCAATCATTTACGGGATTTAAACCTGCGGCCTTGAGTTCCGCAACTGAGAGCTAATAATCTGCGTCAAGGAGCTACTTCAAAAGAAACATTAGCAATACACTCTACAAGTAGATTCTATTAGATATTAAAAATATTTGAAACAAGTTAAACTTACGTAACGAATAATGTATGGCAAAATTTTAACCGCAGTGTCAGAGCAAAGTATCGCCCAACATCATTTCAAGTAAAACTACTGTAAGGATATCGTTACAACGGTTTCAAAATAGTAAAATATTTCTATAACCCACACTTTTCTATTTTATTTGTTTATTAGTTTATGCAAATACATATTTCGATAGGAAAATGGTTAAAATAACAGTCATGTACATCTACAAAGGCACTGTTTATTCAATGTTGATATTTTTCCAGCAGGTCTACTGAGCGATAGTTTAAAAAAATAGTTAAGTGTGCTTGTACATATACCAGGGTGGCCTGAAGAGTTTCCAATCTCCAAGTGAAGATGGCAGCACTCATCAGTAAAAGCTTACGAAAGTAGTTGTGCATCTTTTGAGAGTACGTACCAAAATTTCAGCCATTTTGGACGCGTAGTTGCTATTTGATAATCATTTGTGTGAGTCGATATGAGTGTTTTTGTGATAATGGAAATAGTTGAGTATCGAGCTGTCATATTTTTTTTTGTTTTTGAAAGGCAATAACTACGCAAGTTAATGTGTAGTGAGACTCTGCGTCATTATTTATCACAGTGATCTTTTGAGCAGCTTAATTTAAACGTGGCTGTGAGAGCTTGGGAGACGATGAAATTTCGGGACGTCCAAAAACAGCAATTACCGACGATAACATCGCTAAAGTTTACCAAATTATGTTAGAAGACCGCCGAAATAAAGTGAAAGAGATAGCAAAGGCTATGAAAATGTCTAAAGATTATTTTTTTTTTTGTTTCAAATTCAAATTGTTTATTGCATGTCACATTACAAATTTAAGATGGTACAATTTTGATCGGTATACATGTGACGCCCCGCAAGGGCATAGCAACACTAGAGGGCTAACTATTTTCGTATTATCTAATTTTTAAACATAAATTACAAATTATCATATCATCAACATTCAATATTATTTTATATAAATTAATTTAATTTGAAACACAATGAATAGTCTAAGTATTCTTACTTTATCGTTATTTATCGTCAAAAAATTCATTTAAATTATAGTAACATTTATTAATAAGAAATATTTTTAATTGTTTATTAAATTGCACAGGATTTTCCAGGATTTTTATGGAATTTGGTAAATGGTTATAAATCTTTATTGACATAACGTGAGGGCTGTTTGAAACTAATTTTAATTTGGAGAAGGGTATCTTAAGCTTATATAAATTTCTATTATTTCTTTTAGTCTTTTTAATAGGTGAGTAGAGTTTTGGGTGCTTCCTAACAAATTTACAAGATTCGAGGATGTAGATAGATGTAAGTGTCAAAATCTTATTTTTAATGAAGTGGGGTTTACATGACTCCATTTTGTCCAAATTTATCAATATTCGTAGACACTTCTTTTGTAATATAAATAATTTGTTTATATCACAAGAGTTTCCCCACAAGATGATGCCATAGGAGAGTACGGAGTGAGCATGTGCATAGTAAGCCGCAAGGGCAGTCTTAAAATCTGTCACACGTTTAAGGTGTTGCAGTGCATAAATAAATGAGGATATTTTTTTTGCAACTTTTTGTACGTGCTGTTTCCAACTCAAATGTGTGTCCAGGTCTATTCCTAACAAAGTGCCAGAGTTAACAGTTTCTAGTTTTGTATTTTTATAGTTAAACGATATTTGTAAACCAGTTTTTTGGTAGGGTTTAAATTGAATAATTTTAGTTTTATTAAGGTTAAGTTGTAAATTATGTAATTGTAGCCAGCCAGTAATTTTATCTAATGTATAGTTCAATTTTGTAGTTAAGTCTGTGGAATTAGTGCAAGAGATTAATATGGAGATGTCATCTGCAAAGAGCACGCATAGATCGTCCAGTATGTTTGGTAGATCATTTATGTAAATAAGAAACAAAATACAACCCAAAACGCTACCTTGAGGGATAGAGCCAGAAATGAGAGTTGCATCCGATCTGACATGAGTAATTTTGCCTGTCTCGAAGTTGGTATTTTCAATTTCTACATATTGGAAGCGGTTATCAAGATAGGATTTGAACCAATTATGAGCTATTCCCCTAATTCCTGTTTGATACAGTTTTTCCAATAGAGTTCTATAACAGACTCTGTCATAGGCTTTACTCATATCGAGCAAGAGGCCTACTGCGATTTTTTTATCGTCGATTTTGTCTAGGATGCTTTTTACATATTTATAAATTGCTAAGGTAGTGGAGTGGTTTTTCCTAAAGCCATGTTGGTTCACGTGCAAAATATTATATTTTTCATAAAATGAACAAAGACGTTTCGCCATAGCCGCTTCAAATATTTTAGCAGACGTAGGTAACAGAGCTATAGGTCGATAATTATTTATGTCAGTAGTTTCGCCCTTTTTATGCAAGGGTTTGATTAGAGATATTTTGAGGGCATCTGGGAAGATACCTTCTGAAAAAGATTGATTTACCAATATTGTATAGGGGATTGTTAACAAATCAGCACAACTTTTAATCAAAATAGGAGTCATTTCATCAATGCCGTAGGATGATTTATTTTTAAGATTTTTTATTATGGTATTCATTTCATGAGTTTCTACTGGGCTTAAGAAGAGAGTGTTTTCGATGGATTTTGTTAAAGTTGTTTTATTTAAATTACAGTTATTTGAGTGTAAATTTCCTATAGATGCATAAAAGGTATTAAATAAGTTCGCTACTATTTTAGGATCACATGATATATGTTTATCTGTTATTTTTAGTTGAACATTTCTATATTTTCGTGAATTTTTGTTAGTCTCGTTATTTATGATTTGCCACATAGTTTTAGTTTTATTTTGAGAATTTTCAAATTTATATTTGTTACATAATTTTTTGGATAAATTGATGGCTTTTTTTTAATATTTTACAATAATGTTTATAATGATATTTAAAATTTTCATTTTTGGTTTTGGAAACCAATAACTTTAAAAAATCTTTTATAGCGACACGATGTTTTTAATCCTACTGTTAAATAATTTTTCTTTGGAGAATTTTTTTATTTTTATTTGGATTTTTGGTATACATTTATTTAAAGCTCTTTGTAAAATTTCACTAAATATGTCATAATTCTCATTTACAGTTTTATTAGGTTTAAGTATGTCATCCCAATTTATATTAGAAATTTCATTTTTGAATTTAGTTATATTTAAGTTATTGTATATTCGTTTATTTAATAAAAATTGCTTTAAGTTTTGTATTAGAGACGGTATAGAAATTAATAAACTACAATGATCTGAAAAACCAAATTCATGAACAGTTATTTTCATATCCTTTAATTTAAAATTAATAAAAAGTAGATCAATGCATGTGGAGCTGTTTGGTGTAATTCTGGTGGGTTGTTTAATCTTTTGGTGGAAGTTATACGATAACATTAAATTAGAGAGCCTATTTTTTTCGCTATTATTTGTTAGGAAGTCTACGTTAAAGTCGCCACCTATGATAATATTCTTAGAATAATCCTTTTTTGAGATGAGACTCAAGAGTTTTTCTAGACATGAATAGAATACTTCGATTTCCCTTTTGCTATTAGGCCAGTAGAGGTTAATAATTAACAAGTTTATTTGAGAGATTTCAGTAGCACATATTTCAAAAATCATTTCGGTGGACAACGAAGATATATCTATTCGTTCGTAATATTCTAATGTGTTTTTTATTAGTATACATACTCCACCACCGTCATGCTCCTCCCGGCAGAAAGATGAGCTTACGGAATATCCTTCTATTTTCAACAAATCTTTCTTTTGTTTATTTAACCAAGACTCTGATATACATATGACATGAAAATTACATCTATCCTCTATAAATGCCTCTAGTAGGTGAGTTTTATTACAAATACTTTGCATATTTTGAAACATAATATTAAAATAAACTCCGAAAAGTAGAGTTACTTGTTAAATTATTGTCTTTTGTTGGTCCTACTCCGTCTCTGGTTATAGCTTGATTTGTGTTTTTTGTAGAGATGGGAACGGTAAAGTTTGACATACATTCTTCGGTTTGCGTAGATTTATCGAATAATTTGTCAGAATCAATACAATTATATGAAATTACATGATTGTTTGTTATTTTGTATGCGTTAATTTTTATTTGATATTCATTGCGTAATATCTCTTTTAGCAACGAGCGGCAAACAAAAGTGGAAAAAAATGACTTAAATGGTATAAAATGATCAAAACCCATCTCTACAAATATACAATTTTTGTGACGATTACAAATATATCTCAGTTCATAATTTAATTTTTTTTTCATTTAAAAGTTTGTTATATGGAATTTCGGATATAATTACATTTGTATTTGATAAAGAATTCAAATAAACTTCTATATTACACTTAAATTCAAATGGATTTTTGTCATTAATTCCCCCCATAATTATGACGTAATCTTTACTTGTGAGTGACAACAATTCCTGTTTAAATGAGGATAATAGATCATACGTTTTCGCACCCGGTTTCCATAGAGAAGTGACTAAAAATTCATCTCCGATAAGGTTTTGAAGGCAGTGACGAACTCCTCGACCCTGTTGATCTGCGATGATAAATATTTTTTTCTTAGTGCTGTATGTTGGAATCATGGAGCTTATTCCATTCTTTACTATTATTTTTGTTTGAAATTGCGAAGGTGTCAGGTCTGTGGTGCACGTGGAATGATTTTCGGTGTACTCTTTGGCTTCTTTTTTTGTTGTGGAGCATATTACATTACCCTGTAATTTTTTTATATTTTGGTTTAATTTTTCTATTTGTCTGTTAGCATCTTCCAATTCTTGTTCAAGTTTCTTAATTTTGTTTTCAAGATTAATTACTTGTGTAATACTTGTCTTAGGGGATATGGAATTTGTTTTTGTAGGAGTTTTACCCACAGATATAAAGTTTTTAATTCTTTTTATGACCGGAGAAGACATTACTGAATTTTCAGAAATACCAATTTTTTTCATTAAACTTAGAGTATTTTCTCTTTGGGCTAGAGTTTTTTTTAGATCTATATTTTCTAGAGATAATCGCTCCACTTCTTCGTTAGCAGATTCCAGTAATAATTTCTGTTCATTAATTTGACGTTGTAAGTTTTTTGTGTAGTCATTTTCCGTGATGGAAGTGTTTGGTAAACTTAGCGTAGATGTGTCGAAAGGATTCGAATAATTTACATTGCATTCATCGATAATTATTGAAAGATCTGTAACTGATTTAGATTTGTGTTTTCGTAAAGTGATGTTTGTTTTTTCCATTATTATTGTCTTTTTAATTGCATTGAAATTACAAATCACTATAGTTAACAAAATAATTTCAGATCAGTAGTGACATCTGTTGTAGGTCATACTAGTGCTTTATTACCTATCAATGTATGCAGGTCAGTAGTACCATTAAATTTTGAAAGGTGGCGCTACTTCCAAGTTTTTTAAAAATAAAAAACGGTCTGTATTTAATATTAAATTTGTTGAAATCGTAGTTAATCCGATTATTCCACAATTCACTATATATCGTTTTGTATCAGAGCACTGTGAGTCTGGATACACATTCACAATCACTTGAGATATCTTAAATTTATCTGTATTAGTCACTGTTACAATTATTTTTATTTAGCAGTATTTTTGTTTATTATACACTACGAATACCTTGAATAACACTGGTGCCGTTAATTAGCGTGTTTATGGTTACTTTATTACACTAATCACTGTTTAAAACTTATAAGGACTGTTAAAATAAATTAAAATAATAAGAGCTCGTACAGAGCACCGTTTATTCCACTACCGCCCAAATGATATTGTCACATATTAAATCAAGATTAAAGCATGATAAAGCTGTCAGCGCTTTGGGTGCGGCGTTTGCTCACGTTAGACCAAAAACATGTTCGAATAAACATTTTAAACGCTCTGTTGGCGCAGTTTAGGCAATATATCGGAGTTTCAGCGTCAATTATTAACTTTAGGTGCAATTTACTATTAATAATAAGCCCGAAACAAAATACAGTCTAATACAGTTCGCAAAGAGGGAAACGGCTTCTAAAAATGCAATAACTGGTTTTTTTGGCTGTGAAAGTGATGGCGACTGTTTTTTTTTTTTTTTTTTTTTGGGATAGTCATGGAGTTATCTTAATCGTTTACTTTCAAAAAACTAAAACCATTACAGGAACATACTACGCATTATTACTTGACAAATTGAAGACATAAATTGCGGAAAATCGGCCACATTTACAGAAAAAGTAAAACCTGTTTCACTATAACAACGCGCCGTCTCACACCTCAGCGGTTGCAATGGCAAAAATCCAAGAATTACCGTTTAAACTGCTTGACCATTCACCTTACCCACCAGATCTAGCCCCAAGCGACTTCTTTTTGTTCCCGCATCTAAAATCTCACAACAAACATTTCGACGGGTTAGAGAGACGGGAGCATAGTAGTGTGTAGAGTGTAACAAGGGGACTATGTGGAAAAATAAAAATAAATTTTAAGAGAAATGTTTTATAAGTTGTCATTTTTTATTTAACGTTTACCAAAAAAAAACCTCTGTCCTGGGAAGAACCAGCAAGAACTGTGTGGGACTCTTTTTAAACATGTTTCGATTTACAATGAATTTATTTTGTACAATTTTTGTATGAATTTTTATTGAACCAACGTGGTGGCGATCACCTCATTCCCATCATCCAAATGTATTTTATGTATTCATTTATATTATATAACCTTTTTTGTACAATTTTTCTTTAATAAAAATTTTACAAAAAGTGTCCTAGTTACGTCGAAAACTTTTCAGATCACGTATATATACGAATATTACAGGTGCATCATTCATTAATTCTTTAAAACCTATCGAAAGTTTGTTGCTGAAAAAAGGCCTCCGCCATAGATTATCGCAAATAAACCTCATATTTGTCATAGTTGTTAAACTTATCAGGAAGGTTGGCAACCGCAATTTTATATTATTTTCAGTTGTAGTCAGGGAGGTACTGTAGTCTATCTCCTGTTTCAGTTCCTGTCGCCTATTAAGACACCCACGGGATGATATGGAGAATTGTGAAATTTCTAACACTGCCGCAACTCTGTATCTTTTATTGGTAAGTCGAGATAAGAAAGAGATGAAGATCTAGAGGAATATTTTATTACACAATAAAATAGAATATAATATTATTTTTATTACGATATCGTGGTAACTTGGAGGAGCTCGCCTTAAAACTCATTTTAAAATCATTATTTTCTTTTAAAATGTATGTGCATAGAACTTAAAATTGAACTTCACTGATATTGTGAAGTCTAATTTTAAGTTCTAATTTGCCACGTGTTTGGCGGTGAAAAAATATATCGCGAGGAAGCCTGTATCCCCTAGGATTAAAATATTTCGCATGCATTTGGAGTCCGCCAACGCGCACTGACAGAGAAATCCAATAACTGATTCTGCCCCAACCTGGAATTCAAACCCAGATCCCCATGATCAGCAGTCGTACTCGTGATCACTAGACCAACGATACATTAAATAGAGACCCAACAGTTTTGCGGGCCCGTCAGTAGCTCCTACATCTGCAGCACCTGACTTAGGTGCTCTGATGGTGATGCTGCAGGAGCAGGCTCGCCGACAGGAGGTACAGGCTCGCCGACAGGAGGAACAGGCTCGCCGACAGGAGGAACAGGTCCGTCGGTTGGAAGAGCAGCTGCGGGGCGGACAGGATGAACAGGCCCGTCGACAAGAGGAACAAACCCGCCGACAAGAGGTACCTCAAACTGGGTGATGGAACTACAGCTCCCTTAGTAGCTACTACACCTTCGCTACGTGGGTTCAAAGTGCCACCGTTCGACGGGACTTCTTCCTGGTCAGCCTACAAAATCCAGTTCGAGGCTGTTATGAAGGCGAACGGCTGGAATAAAAGTCAGGCCATGACTGCTCTCACACTAGCCCTGCGCGACCAGGCCTTAACTGTTCTGGAAGCTCTCGGTGAGGAAGTGACTTATGAGCAACTCCTTGAGGCATTGGAAGCGAGATATGGCGACGCTCACCTGGAACACGTCTTTCGTGCGCAGCTTAAAGATCGCGTGCAGCGCATCAATGAAAACCTGCAGCAGTGGGCTCTAGAGGTGAAGAAGCTGGTGCGAAAAGCATACCGGTCTGTACCTGCGCTCATTGAAGGGAACCTGGTGCAGACATTCATCGACGGCATCCGCGACCTGGAAGTCAGAGCTGCTGTGAGGCTCGGGCACCACGAGACGCTTAAGGACGCCTTGGCCCATGTACTGGAGGTGGAAGCCGTGCGGCAGGATCATCGTTCCCATCGCGTCAGGGAGGTTGCAGCAGCTACAGTTCGCAACCGCAACAAAGGCCCTAGGTGCTATGGCTGTGGGGAAAAGGGCCACCTTCGATCCAGCTGCCCTAAGCGAACCCTAGAAAGTGAACGATCTCAGGAGGGTAGTGCGGCCAACAGCACCGCCCAGCAGCAGCAGGGAAACGAGTAAAAGCCAGAACTGCGGGGCGGGTGCTGGCTGATGTTAAAAGAGCCCCAAGGATTTCGATCTCACAAACCAATGATGGGAACAGTCTAATCATCAAGGGCGAGGTCAATGGAATGCCGTGTAAACTAACCATAGACACTGGGGCCTCTCGTACGGTTGTTAGTTCCCAACTTATAAGTAAGTTCCTTGGGGACTCCGCATACAACCGAGAACGCATTAATTTGGTAACAGCCACCGGTCAGCGTATACCCGTCCGTGGAGAGAAGGAGATGGAGTTAAAGCTAGGCAATGTGATCTACCTGCATAATGTCATCGTGGCTGATATAATGGACGACTGCATCCTGGGCCTAGACTTTATGAGGAATAATTGTTGTGAGATCGACGTTAAGCAAGGTGTTTTGAAATGTGGACAGGAGGAACTTTTTATGGAAGGTGCGTTACCAGGGAACGTGTACAGCATTAAGAAGATTGTTCTTCCGCCGAGATCGGAAACGATTGTTCCGGTTAGTCTTCCCTCGAAACGCTGGGCAAGCTCACCGTTGTGTACTTGTGGAAAGGGTAAACAATGATCTTCCATGGAAAGTAGCTCGAACCTTGGTCAGAACCACCGACATCTCAGGAGTACGTGTGCTGAACCTTTGTGACCGGGAACAGATTATAGAAAAAGGCACGCTGGTACTTCTGAGGAAGTGGATTGGTTACGTCGGTGCCAATATCTATCGAGTGAGACCCCCAGCAAGGATACACAAACGAGGGTGACCACACTTTTGGAAGACTGTCGCAGCGTTCTCTCCCCGACTGAAATGGTCAAGGCGAAGAATTTGTTACTCAAGTATGCCGATGTATTCTCATCTAACGATGCTGACATAGGAAAGACTGGCTTAGTTCAACACAAAATAAACACAGGAGAAGAAGTGCCTATCCGTCCGCGACCAAGAAGATTGCCGGTAGCACGTCAAAAGGAAGTGGAAACCATGATTGAAGGAATAGTGAAGGATGGTGTTATTGAAACTTCCTCTAGTCCATGGTGTTCACCAGTGGTGCTGGTAAAGAAAAAAGATGGCAGCATGCGGTTTTGTGTTGACTACCGCCGTCTGAATGACGTTACGAAAAAGGAGAGCTATTCCTTGCCAAGAATTGATGACACGCTGGACATGCTTACAGGAATAAAGTGGTTTAGCACGCTGGATCTAAAAAGTGGCTACTGCCAAGTTGAAATTGACCCTAAGGATAAGGAGAAAACTGCGTTCTCGACGGGAAAGGGTCTGTGGCAATTTAAAGTAATGCCGTTTGGGTTGTGCAATTCTCCAGCAACGTTTGAAAGGCTGATGGAGCTTGCACTTACTGGGCTAATTGGCGATGCCTGTCTGGTCTACTTGGATGACATCATCACCGTGGGCCGTACGTTTGAGGAACACCTTCAGAATCTGAAACGCGTGCTCATGAAGATTCAGAGTGCCAACCTCAAGTTGAGTCCGAAGAAATGTTCGCTATTCAAACGGCAAGTCAACTTTTTGGGGTATGTAGTGTCGGAAGAAGGTATCCGTACGGATCCGGAGAAAATCGCCGCTGTCAAGGATTGGCCGGTTCCAAAGGACAAGACGCAGGTTAGAGCATTTTTGGGTTTGTGCTCTTATTATCGGCGATTTGTGAAGAACTTTGCAGATATAGCTAAACCTCTACATAAGCTAACCGAGGAGAAGCGACATTTCTGCTGGGATGAAAGTTGCAATATCGCATTCCAGGAGCTCAAGGACCGTTTGTGCAAAACACCTATTTTGGGATACCCTGAT